TGACAGTATCTTAAATGAGAGTAGGAACAATAGGAATAAAGGGGGAAAGTGGGTGGAAGAAATGTGAAATCCAAAGATTAGAGTCTCAGCCATCAGGAAAAAGACAGAGTTCTGGGAGCCCAGAGGAGACGCTGGCCGGGGAAGCGCTAATGAGCTTCGGGACACACCTGCTGAACTCACACGTCTTCCCTCTCTTCTGGGCAAATCATTTTTCTTTTTCCTACTCCATCTCCATTTCAAGGTTTCCATTGCCATGAAAAGAAAATTGCTATTGGATATGATCATAGATGTATCACAAAAAGCATGCTCTATTGTGACATGTGAGTTCTAAGCCACCGCGCTACATGCCTGATTTGGACCTTTCTTCCTAATATGCTTGAAAGTACAGTCACTCCTCATTCACGGCAGGGTTTGGCTCAGTTTCCCCGTGGACAATAAAATCCACGAATACACAAGACACTTTACAACATGGCATTGTGTTTACAGATAACCTACAAACATCTCTCTGCATGTGTTAAATTATTTCTCAATTACTTATAATACTCAATAAAGTCTAAGTAAGATGTAAATAGTTGTCATACTTGGTTTTTCAGGGAATAACAACAGAATAAAGTCTATACATGTTTATTAAATATTTTTCAAATATTTTCAATTGGTCTTTAGATTTACCTGCACGTGTGGAGCCCACAGATTCGGATAGATGACTATATTTACTTCCTGGTCATCTGTTCCTGCTGCTGCTGAGGTGGTAATTTGGGGCTCATGCTGTGTGAACCCCTGATCTAGAAGATGGTAACTTATTTTAAATTTTCCACTGCTGTTATGTGTACAAATCTTGAACACATTTTTACCCTCTGACCCAAATTGAAAAACAGACAAGAACTATTGCATTCATGACCTTCAAAATTCCTCACTAGTAGAATTTTTCTCATTTTCATTTTTAGATGTATTGCAAGTGGAAGATATAAATTCTCTTTTAATCATTCTTTTCTTGCCCACTCAGGCAGAGTTAGGCTTTCCACCTCAATGAAACCTCCTTCCATTAAATTGGAAATAGGATCTTTTTTCGAGAGTTTAAGCCAGCAAAATGCATACAAAATGGATAAACTAACTTTCAAAAGTGGTCACTTTTTAAAGACAGAAGGTGTCAATCTACACATAGGAAGAGTACAGTAGAAAACCAAGCTGTGTGTTGCCTGAGGGAATCAGAGCCCTATCCTAACAACTGTCATTAAGGGCCAATTAAAGATTGTGGCCATTGAATAGAGCAGAACTAGAATAGGAATCCCAAAAAGGGGAGGAAAACAAGGAAGCGAGTATTGGACTGCATTTGCCTGTGCTTGGAAAGGCGGTGGGTGTGGAGGCTGGGGGCCGTGCCCTCGGGGTCAAGGGGCTCCAAGAGCCTCAGAGCCCTGTGGCAGCAGGAATCCTCTTCAAGGCTATTGCCCCATGTCTCAGTACAATGCTTGGCAATGAGGGAACAGGGCATCACTAAGGGTGTGTTGAAGAAGCACTTGATGCCGTTTCTATATGGCCGTACCCGAGTTGCTGCTTGCACAGTCTGTGTCATGGGTCACCGTCCTGGGTTCCTTCTTTATCTCTGAGAGGTTCTCAGTATTCTGTGCATTCTTCTGCCGCTCCAAACATCTGCCTTATCTATCCCACGAGCCCAGGTCACTTTCTGAAAAACAAGCTGGGGAATTTCTAATAGATACCAAAAAAAAAAAAACCCACACCCATCCTTTCCTTAGGATTTTCAGTTAGATTTAAATAATAGTATACAAACTGCCCAATCTGAGTGAGCTCATGTGTGTCTTTTTGCTGTTGACTGTACATTTTTTTTTTTTTTTTTTTTTCTCCGGTACTGGG